GGTATATATTACTTATATTAATTAATTACTTATATTAATATTAATTAAAGGTATACATTATATATATATATATATATACTGTATTAAGATTTCAAATAGTTGACTTTCTAAATGTAATCTACACTTTACCAAATCACATTTGAAATCGCATCCAGTTATTTTTTGGCTTATTATTTTTTAAGAATTAAAAAAGAAGAAATGCAGTACCATAATTTGAATAAGTATTAACAGTAATTAATTTTAATTTTTTTCTCGTGTTTTAATTGCAACTTTGTTGTAATAGATTTTTAGTAGTTACTGGCAAAAATTCTAGAATTTCTAATCTATTAGAATTTTTTCCTTCTATTTAGCAACACGTTTACACGTTACCAAAGAAAAGTGGATAATTATCAACAATGTATTTATTAAAATTATTTAAAAATAAACAATTGTAAAAAATAAAAAAAAACTAGTTTATTATATGTGTCTGTCGTAATTAAATACACGTAACTACACTTGCATAATATACTAAAATATCTAGGAATACGAATTACAAAATTAATATTTTGTAAGAAAACAATCAACTATTCCCATTTGTGTTTTATTATAAATTTATCTATTTTGATAATAAATTATATGAAATCTTGAATGATTATAAGTATTTTTATTCTACTATGAACATCTTTGAATATGCTGATTACATGGGTGTCCATAGAAATTTTCCCAAAGAGTAACAAAGCTTGAAGACAAATAATTATATCAATACATTTTTATTTAATTTTTTAGGTTTTTTTTCACGAGTAGATTATAGAATATAATATTGCAATGTCTCAATCACTTTAGAATTATAATTTCTGGAATAACGATTTACTTTACTTGTTAGACGAGTAAAAGGGATGTGTGTGTGTGTGTATGTATGATTCCGTGAGTTAAAAGATTGTACGGTACACGAATAAAAATACTGTTAAAGATATTTATAAACAATGTGACATGAAAATAATGAATGCGGTCGATCAGGAGAAAGATGCCAAGAGACTTGGGAGCAACATTGCTATTCTCGGTATGGGGAAATTGACAGACTTTATTGAGCAAAAGATAAGATTTGTTAAGCGCAAATTAAATTTTGTCTAAATTAGAGCCTGAAGTTATAGCCCAAAACGGAAGACCATAATCGACGATAGACTAAGTGTTGGAAAAAAAAACAATAAGCATAAAGCTTTCAAGTAGAAAATTGATTTGCAACTGCGCCAAAGATCCTTCTACTGATTGAGAGATTTTTAACTAGATGATGAATTGAGTGATAAAAATTGAGTTATGAATCAAATATGATGCCTAAATCATTAAAGGTATATAAATTACTAACTAATTACTAATGATAAATCACTAATTAGTCATTTATATAAAAGAAATAGGAATGTTTATTAAAATTTATAATCTGTTAATAATCTTTTAATTCCATATTTACAGTGTTTTCTCCTATAAAGCTGTGTTTAAGTAGAGAAATAGCACTAAGCTGAATATATAGATATTTCAGTGTTATATTACATACTATATCTAGTAAATTTCTTACTTGTGCATACCGACGTGAGATCTCTTGGTTTAAACGTTGATCGAATGGTAATCTTTGCTATGATTTTGTATTGGTCTGCAGATCCTCTACACCTGATAATGGAGTCATAAATGAATACAATAAATGCGGACATTACGAAGCACTGTAAACATGAAAATAAAACGGTTATAAAAAAAATGTGTTTATTACTGTTTAAATACATTAACTTTTTGCTGTTGTGTTTTCGATATTGGGCGCGCATTACATTCTTAAACTAACTTTCTTTTTGGGGTATTTACACCTCGAAAATTGGATGCGCATTATATTCGATGGCGCATTATATTCGAGAAAACGTGGTATTAAAATAGTTAATTAGTTTTTCGCAGATATAAAATTGTATGATATTAAAAAATATTAATTTCTAGTTTAAAATAAGTGGATAAGATTACAAATATGCCATTATAAGCTTGTGTCAAGTAGTGCTTTAAATATCATGAAAAATTATCAATAAAATTATTTTTTATATGAACATATACAAAACAACTTATATCACGTAATAAAAACTATTTTTACGTTTATAAGATATAAATAGAAAATATATTAAACATAAAAATCACTTCAACAATTTAAAAATAACTCGAATACAGGAAATTCATTTCAGAATATGAAAGAATTGATGAGATTAAAATATTATTGGTAAGTTTGTAAATAATTTTTGTCGATATGAATTCTCATAGAGATGTGAATTATTTTATTCCAGTTACAGGATAATAAGAACTTAATATATTTGTTGTGTTTAATACATACTTTACGTTATTGTTCCAATGACGTATAGTGTATTGACAGAAGAAAATCATAACAGAGATAATACGATTATCTTACCTTAATAGCCTTACGCTATTTTCCATATAACCTAAATAATAGAATGACTATCGTTTTATTTCATTATAGTAAAACGAAAGCATTTTATAAACTTATAGCCTATTTCGTATAGGCCCTATATTAATAAACTAACTTATCAAATTATATATTATGCACAATTTAGATATGAATTAACAAAATGAAAACTTTGTATTAATTAAAACTAAAAATTTACATAATTTTATTCTAAATAATCGAAAATTTGAAGTTTCTGCTTTTAACAAAGAGATAAAATCTATATAGAAAAATAAAAGGAGAAATAAAGTGAAAGCAGTAAGTGATTATTAGGAAAAAAAATAAGAAAAAAAAAATAAAATGTTTAAACGTGAAGAAAAAGTAAGAAAGATAAACTCTTGCAACATATAAACATTATAAAGTAAAATGATAAATAGTCATCAGATAACCTTAGAATTCCACTTAACTAATATCTTTTAACATCTTATTAAAATCATATAAATTAATATTTATCTTAATTTTCCCCTTATTAATACCTTATTATGAATAATCTTGTAATAAAATAAAAAAAAATTTAATTTACCTCCTTCCAAATATTTTAATTGCTAAAAATTCCAATTCTGAAATTTCAATGTCAACTCATTTTGTTGATTTATCTTCATTTGTAATGCAGACATGTTAATCACATATGTAGACTATAAAGACTTTTCATTAGTAAAACTTATAAATACAGTAAACAAAATAATAATTATATTTTAAAATAAATTCTATTAAATGTAGATTTATATAAAATGTAAATAATCATAATAAAATCGATGTTTAAACACGATAAACGAAACATTTATTGATAAGTCTAAGGATCTAAAATGATTATCATATCTTAGAACGAATTAAAAATCAAATTGAAATCGTTTCAATAAACCAAATTATATTAAGAAATGTGTAAATTTAACAATCTGTAAGTATCATAATGCTCAAAATATTAATAATCAACATATAAGGATCATATGAAATGTATAAAACACTTTGCGTGGAAATAAATTGTATATTTATCTCTTAATAAAACACTGATATAGTAATTTACAATTACCGCCATCAATCATTCCAAATATTACATAATGCATCCAATCCCGACACATGAACATGTGACGTCACGCATAGAGTGACGTCCATACCCTTGCATCAAGATGTTTAAATTACTTATGGCGCTACACATCGCAATATCGTGAGGTGAATGGAGTAGAAATGATTACGTGCAACGAACATCATTGAAGGTAAGAGAAATTCTATTAAAAAATACTTAGCAAGTCATATATAAATTTTCAGCCTAGTTTGAAAGAAAATTTTTCGTCAATTAAATTATTATATATTAATTTTTCACGTCGTAAAACCCGAATTTACTCCTCGAAAATATTCTAAATTATTTTAGTTTTAAAATACGAAATAATCAGTATTTACTTCTAATAATAATTAAGCGCAAATTAGAGTATTTCAGCTTGTCTCCGTTATTAAACTTGTAAGCAATTTTGTTATAGCCGAACAGCTTTCGATATGGTCAGTATACTGATGTGTCAACATCATGTGATATCGTAGACTTTGACCCTAATTTTTTTTAAAAAAAAGGAAAGGGAGGAGGGGAAGAAATGTTAGCGATGACACTACGCTAGGCGCCAATTCAAGAGTTTCGAGTCTTATGTTGTTTCAACTACGTTTACTAGATTCGTTTGCTATTTTTGTAACCCAAGTATTCGGTAATCTACCACTTAAGATTCTCCCCCTAATGGGGGTTGCTAAATAAATTTATAAGCTTTTAAGGTATTAAAAACAACAACCTGATATCGTTAATCTGGTGTGAATATTCATCTTGAGTTAAATTATTTTTATTTTATAATTTTTCCTGTTTATTTTCACTTCTTTTTATAAGAGTAAATATCTTGTAGACCTTGTCCGTAAGAGGGAAGTTTGTCTCTTTTTATTTTATTTGCATAGTTTACATTAAATAATTATATGTTTATGTTTATATCGGTTTAATATTTGCTTTATTTAAGGTTTTAAAATTAGTTTTATTTCTCCCCCTTTTTTTTTTATATACGAAGATTAATTTGATTTTTATACCGTTGTCAACACTTTTAGAGAATTTTTATGTGCCTATTTTACAACATGTAAATATAGAAACTAATGAACTACTGTGTTAACTTCTACAGTTTCCATGATAAACACGAGGATAAATTGGAGAAATTTCCAAAACCTTTTGAAAAATCTTCATCTGGTCCTTGCGACGTGTCATATCCAATGGTGAACGGTGTTCTAAACTTAGTTATAATTTATAAATACTTTGTGTTTGTTTTCTAAAAATATTGACCCTTTTTTTCTCTAAATTTCTACTCATTCAGAATCCATGTAAGTAATGACTTTCATTACCTACGCTTTTATTTACGTTTTACTTTATTTGTACCAAAAGAATATTCAATTCTTTAATTCGTTGCTATATTTATATAAATTTTATATTTAAATATTAAATTAAAATGAACAGAAAACTTAAATCAAAGAAAATTTTCCGGAATTTATAAAAGTTTATATTACAAGTAAATTATTTCATTAATAAAATTTGCATACAAGTAAAACACAATTAAAAATACTTAAAAACGGGATTACACCCTGTCTAAAATTCTAAACATTGTGATTTTTTATTTATTATTAATATGCTATTTTGTTTATTTTAAATCTTAGACTCGAAATAAAACGATATTTTTAAAAATCATCCCGAAATGGCCTCAAGACAAATAGAGATGTTTTTTTCTTTTCTTTTTTTTACTTTTTGGAACATCCATCATATGTTTTTACTAATAATATCCGATGTAATTTTTTTTTTATATTCTTAAATATTTAACATATTTAGTAATTTTTGCTATAACTGAATTGAAATTTAATTAATGTAATATAAATAAATATTTAAAAGATTTACGTAATTCCATATTTACATTTTTTCGAGTTTAATAAGGTAATCTTTCATAGAAATTTTATTTGTCTGACGGAAATATCAATTGAAAAACTTACATTTCGGGTAAAATTAAATAAATTTTATATTTTTTTACGAAATATTATTCNAAGGAAACTTAATTATGTCAATGTTGGCATAAATCGGTTTCCTATCAGCTGATTTGGTGCCAGCAATGAGTTTAGCAGCTGATTTGATAGCACTTGGAAAATTGGCAGAATATTTTTGGGCATCAAGCCCAATTTTATGACATATACAAATGAAACATTCTTCCATTTTTGAATATTATACGAGTGGATACTATGAATTTTATATGTTAATTTATTTATAATTCAGATATCATATGTATTTTTGAAAGTAAGAAGTTTTCTAACTATTACTTTAAGTTTTAACTTTAAAAACTAACTCTTCCCATCAAACTTAAGTTTTTCAAAAGAACTTATTTTACGTCTTAGCGACCGCACATTAATTTATTTATCAAGAATAACGACGACATTTTATTTTCAGGTAGTTCTAAGGAAATAAAAAAGAATGAAAAATTTATTAAAATGTTTATCGTCTATGTCAATATTAATGCTTGATTAAGAGCCAAAGTAGCTTAGAGCCAAGACAAAGTATTGATCACAGAGCCGAAAATAGCCTGTTTTTATTCACTTTAAATAAAAAAAGGCTCAGAAAAGATTAAAAAAAATGGCGTCGTTAGACAAAATAAGTGATTATCTTATTGTGAAGATGACAACTTCCAAAATAAGATGAAGAATAGCTTTAAAACTTTTATATACATTCAACAGTTTATTAAACTATTTCATATTTAAATACTAAATTACATCTTAAAGGCAAACACATGTGCAGTTAGAACTGTTGATCAATAGAGTTTAGTTTTTTTTTAAGCCCTAGATTTTCCAATGCAATTTACTGAACGTGTGATTTATCTATATCATAAATAAAATCTGAAGGTAATTGGGTGAATCACTGCCCAACTATCTTTAAGATATACGAATAGTCAGACGGACCTCGAGATCGCATAACCCAATAAGGAAGTGTCGATTCTAAAAAATTCATTAGAAGTAATTTTATTGGATTTTGCGACATAATATAGTGCTAAAAACATTATAGAAATTCAATACGAAAAATAATATTCGTACTGGTTTTAGTTATGGTCAACAACTGAAGCTTCGTTGACAGAAGAAGTTACAAAAAGCTGATTTGTTTTCATTGAGTGAGTGACAAAAGTCAAATCGGGTCATCGACATGTGATAGCCATCGACTAAAGGTTAACATGGTGAATTTGATTAACAAAATATACATAAAATTTGCCAGGGAAGTTATCTCTAAGAGGATTTTTATTAAAAATTGCTACCGATAAATAATCAGAACAAATATGAACTATTATTGTTTAAATATGGCTATCAGGTTGCAACAAATACTAAATTATTGTTAAGTTAAACAGTTAAGAGCTGATAAATATTTAAGCTTTCAAACATTTATGAAAAATGAATGTAAAAATAATATTATCTTACATTTTTTTCATAGTAATAAGGACAAGAATTATGGTTAAGTAAGACCGAGAGAGACGGATCATAAAATAAAATGTATTTACGATTAACAGATGAAAGTAAAAATATTCCTCAATTAATTTCATTAGAAAAATTTAATACTAAACAAATAATTTATGTTAAAGGTAACTGAACTGCTTATATAAATAAAAGAAAATTAAATTATAGGTTGAATAAACATTCGAAATTGAGATAAAATATTAATTTATTATAAATAAACAATTAATTGTAGAATAATTGTTACAAAATCAGGAAGATAATCATACATTTTAACAACAGACTACATAAGAAACAACACTGAAGAAAGGACGAATAATAAGTAATCCATCAATGGGTTATATTTGTTTGGATAAATATTTAGACATTCAAATGTACACGTGCAGAGTTGTATGGCAACATTCAGTTCATTTAGTGAAGACAAAACTCGGAATTTAATCTCCGTTTTTAAATGGTCAAATAAATCATTCAGTGAGAAAATAAATCAATTGTAAAACTGATAATTTTTTTCTTTGTATATGTACAGTACGCTTTCTTATTTTTCTACTTTGTCTTCTAATTGGTAACATTTAAGTACCACTTTTAGTAAAATCTTTGAAGTTTCATCAGATTGAAATCGTGACAAATATTACATTGTCGCCTTATCATGTGCGTAACATGATTTATGATTTTTTTACGATTACCCAGTAGATCCCAAGGATAAATAAATCTACAAAATCCGACACAAAAAAGTAATGTTGAATTAAATAGTTTTTTATAATCAATCAAAAAATGTTTATCTCGTTAAGAAGGTTAATTCAAAATTATTAAAGATTATAAAATGTATCTATATTATTTGGTGGATGTAATATAGTATTCTGAGCTTTTTTAATAATCAAATTATTCATTTAAAATTGTAATGAGGCTTTTTAACGGCGACGCGACTGTCTCTGAAGGCGCCACGCTATATCACCATAAATAACGAAGTTAACTTATGTGTTTACACTTGTACAAATATGGCAGACATAAGAGAAAGATAATTTCAGGCAGTTGATGTTTTTCTTTATCATTTCACCAAAAAATCGGTTAAGGATACAAAGCGGTCAAGGTTTCCTTATAAATTAGCTGACATACGTGTGGGAGATTCCTTCAAACAAAATCGTTTATATATTTTTAATTTATCGGAAGAAGTACTTATATAAAGACAGTTCCATTGAAACTTTAATTCTATTGAAGTAAATCCTTAATAAGCTTAGAATTTATTTCGTGGACTTTGAGCGAAGGAGGTTTCGTCTGGTTCTCGTCTATTATGCATATATACAGTATATAATGCATGAAATTTTTTGTGGTATTGAAAATATTTGCTAATTGCTAACTTAATTCACTTACCATACAGCTAAAAATCTAAGAGGAAAATGTTTTCTTATGTACTAATGATAATTCAGAAACTTAAATGTGTGATAAATGGATGTAGTAATTAATTTTGAAAAAGGAAACTTAATGATGTCAATGTTGGCATAAATCGGTTTCCTATCAGCTGATTTGGTGCCAGCAATGAGTTTAGCAGCTGATTTGATAGCACTTGGAAAATTGGCAGAATATTTTTGGGCATCAAGCCCAATTTTATGACATATACAAATGAAACATTCTTCCATTTTTGAATATTATACGAGTGGATACGTATGTGAATTTCATATTGTAAATATAAATATAAATATTTTATTATAAATTTAAAGCAGTGTATAAATATTGTAATAAATTATAAACGTGTTTTTCAGCTTACATCACTTTCAATTCAGTTAATCATATTAAGATGATAAATGAAATTAGTAAGCATAGTGAAAGTGAAATTTCATTTTAGCAATTCATTAAAAATAATTTTAATTAGTAACGTCAATAAAGGGGAGAAATACATTAAAATTTTTTCTTACTTATTAGAAGCGTACAGTCTTCAAAATACCTTTATGTCAAGTAAAATTTGAATTTTTAAACATTCTTGTAAAGAGTTAACGTATCTGAATTAACTAATATAAATAAACAACAAACTTTATACAAACCTTAAACTATTACTAATATAAATATGTTCTTTGTTTTAACTATATAAAGAAAATTGTTTAGAAAATATTGCCATGTATGTTTGACAAGTATATAAATCATATTAGAAGGCCAATATCAAAACAAAGATTGACTTTTTAGCAATTATTTTCTTATTAGCTATCTAAACTTTTTAGTTAATTAGTTTATGTTAGTAGTCCTATTTATTATTACTGCCACCATAAAAACTTCGGTGTAATTATTATTACATTATATTGTATTTAAACAAAATATAATAATAATTCATGATAATTAATGATAACGCGTCGTGACGTTTTCAAATGTTAAGGAATTTAAGAAATTACTTCGCTTTCGCAACAGGAATATGTCTTTTTGAATTCTAGAGATTAAACTTATTTAGGAAAATATTACTATTTTAAGATTTTATGAAATCCTATTAATTTACTTTTTACAACTAGCACTTGAATATAAATAGAATTATATGTATATTGATTCGTAATTTGTTTATCTTTAAAAATGAATAATCATCAAAATCCGTATCGGTGACTTAATGTTTTTGGAAGAGTATCAATGGAAAAAAGGAACAAAATTAAAAGTAAACGACGTACAAAAATTTAATAAGACCTTCTAACAAAGAAGTCATACAAATATTTATTGGTAAAGTGTGTTAATTTTTCTCTCATATTACAAAGCAGTAAATTGAAATGTTTCAAAGTTAAGAGCTGTATGGTTTCCAGTTTCAATTTTTACAATTAGATTTTTATTGAATTTACGCTTTAACCATTGCTTAATCTCAGTAGATATTTACCATAAAGATAAAAATCACTTGAGTAAAGATAGATGAAGTGTTCGACAAACACCCATTTTGTTGACTCAGATATAAGACCTATCTCGAAGATATTGATGTCAGCATTAAACACAGAAAACTCATTTTTTAATGAACGGTTAATTAAAACTTATAAAATTAATGTTAGAATAACTTAGTATTAACTATTAAGTATAACTATGAGTTATTACAGTTTCCAATTTTTATAATTAACGTATATTAGCCTTTTATGTAATCAATTTAATTTAAAGTATATATTTTTATATATTAACTATTATTTAAACAATTTTCAATGTAGAATTTTTATACCTATCACCAAGAAATTAATATGCACATGGTTGTTGCCGTTCTTTCTTTGACAAGTCTCATATCGAGTAAGTGTTTTATAATTAATTTATAAAAGAAAAATTATAAATTCAAGTGGTTTAATCGCCAATTAATTTCTAATAGCTCATTGCATACAAAGAAGTTATTTTTGTCAAGATGGGTATTTTCCCTGTAACGGTTCTGATGTTTGTGTTCCAAGAGAAAGTATCTGTGATGGAAAAAAAGACTGTGAAAATGGTTCCGATGAAACAGACTGCAGTAAGTTAAAATAAAAATTAATGTTAAAGTTCCTTAAATTTTTAAGTTATTAAATTCTTAAACATTATTATGTTCCATGTTAAATACGAATTTATTTCTAATTTGAAAGACGTATATTTATTACAAAATAAAGTTTTATATTATTATTTTAAAGCATGCTATTACATGATATCAAAAAGTTTTAATAGTATGATATTGGTATATGCTTAATTTAGACTAAGGTCATCTTTGGTAGTTTAAGCAGTGCACACCACCTAAATTAAGCTCTCTAAAGCAGCATACCAAAGTTTGAAACTGATAATTCTTCGTGTGTTACTTTATACAAAAATTTAATATAAAAATATTATAATTCGTTAAAATTATACTATTAAACACATATAAATACCTAATGATCTAGTCTATGAAAATATTTTTTCGCACATTAGTCACACTTACATAGAGACCTACTAAATACACAAAAATTCCGTAAAATATGTTATGTATACACATAAAACTATAAAAAGAGAAACGAGCCAATAAATTCCTTTAAATATCTTTAGTGTTTACAGGAAAGAAAAACTTCTCTACCAATAATAGATTTAAAGTGACATGTTGGTAATAGGAAACTTGCCATCATATAATTGTTTTTTTCACACCCTCTCATCATCTTCCATTAGGAAAAAGGACCATTTTTATTGCTTAAATCTAAAACCTCTTAAATATATATAATTCTTTCATATATTTTGTTTATAATTTTGCAGAAGATGAAAATAAAAGAGAATATTACAATAATTTATTTAGAAAAAGACCCGATGAAGATCGACATACAAAAATTAAAACCTGTGGTAAATATTTATTATATAATAAATATTAATTAAAATTAGAAATAACTTTGATGATTTAAAAGTTATTATAAAACATTTTTTAAATTTCTTTATTGTTTTCTTGAAGATATGATAATCCGACCAATTGAATGTCAATGTTCTGAAAAAAGTTTATTTTGCAACTTAAAGAATTTTCATGCTGTGCCTTTAAATCTTTCAGAAGATTTGCAAATGTTGTATGTGTTTCATTTCTATTTTATTAATCTTACAATTAAACTGAATATTTTATTATTAAGTCTAATAATGTCAAAAATTTAAATATGCCAGAAATTAAGTCATGATTTTTAACATAAAAATTATTTTTTAGTTGTTAAAATATGGATAATTACTTATGTATTCTTTGGACTTTTTTTTATCTTAAGTTTTGTTTTAATGTTAAATATATTTTGAAGAACAAATTTTTCGTATAGGAAATAATAACATGTGATTTAAGTACATTTCCGGTCAAGGACTAAAAGTTCGAGTTAGCCAATACTTAAAAATCTATCTTGACAAGCAATCTAAAGAGTCAAAATATGTTCTTTCCAAATGCTGGAAAAACAAAGTTAACTTATACAAAATTTGAAATACGACTTTAAATAAACAGACTTCAATCAAATGGGATAGTTATTGATATTTTCTTCTTATAAATTTTATAATATTTTAGCCTAGAAGATTTGGATGATGAATTATCATTTTTTTGGATTAAAATTTATATAAAAATTAATCCCGAACAAAAATATTAGTCTGTATATTAATTATTTTTATAAATATAAGTGTTAATTGGAAATGGAAATGGACTTTAACCACTTAATTTCATCCTATAAATCCAAGGTTAAGATTACTTTGGAGTACTTCAAATAAATTATTTAAAAATTATTATAACAAACCCAACTCCTACGGGAAACTATTATAAAACATGAAAAGATAAGAAAAACAACTGGTAAGTTTCAAAGAATCCATTCATTAAGAAATGTTTATATTAAAGACGTTTGGTATATTTACAGGGATCTAGCTGGAAATAAATTGGACTCAATAGACGGAGACCATTTTCCACAATTACCACAACTCCACACATTGTATGTTAATTTATAAAATTACTGTATGTTAACTCTTTAAAATAATTTTAGTGTCATACTTTTAACTGTTTCCTTCCTATGGACAATAACAGTGATACCATGCTTTTAAGAAGAATAAATACACAAGAAAATAAAAGAAGAATTATAATATTTTATATTTAAAAAACATTTATTGAAATTAGACGTTTTCAATCACTTGAATTTCATAAAGAAATTGTTATCTATTTATTCATCCTTATAATTAAAGCATCTAAAAAAGTCACAATGAAAAAGGATTAAATATATTCCATTGTTTTAATATAAATTAAGCGAATTATACAGTAAATTTTAATATTTAATGGCAAAAATATAATATTAAAAATGTTAATAATTCGATGAATAAATAAATAAATTAGTGAAATTCAAAGAAAAGTTTTATGTTACTAAATATTTATTTAATCATCAATATTCTAAATTACATCATTTTATAAAATACTGTTTTTAAAATATCAACCACACTTTCTGTTATAGATTATTAAGCAAATCAGAAATCACTCAATTAAGTGAAGGTGCTTTTAAGAATTTAACTGCATTAGAAAAGCTGTAAGTAGAATTTCTTTAAGTATTTTCTGGAGGAGATTTGAAAATCTAGAAATGTATGAAATATAATTAAAAACGGTATTTTCTTAAATTACAGATATTTGATTGGTAACAATCTGGAAAGCATCCAAAACAACGTGTTTACTACTAATAGAAGATTAAACTATCTGTAAGTACCGAAATTTTGCTTTTACGTTAACGCCTTATTAAAATTAATCAAAGGGTGACAACGAGAATTATGATATACGAAATGTAAATAATTTCAGTCCCTTATATTTTTAGAAAATTTGGGATGTTTCTATTTCCAGCGACCTGTCTCACAATCCATTAGTTTTGCTGAATTCGTTTTCTTTCCAAGGTCTGGAAGCTCTCACTGAATTGTAAGTTTGAAATAAAATATTGTTTATTAAACAAAATTAATTTATTATTTTTGATGATAATATCATAAAATATATGAACTGTCGACGAAAATTATCGAAATTCTTAAATGGAAACGAGTTGTATAACAATTACTTGGATTATGATTTCAACAACTTAAAATATTTTTCTTATTTAGCAAATTATTCATATTGAATATAAATCTATAATATTCTAAATCTACTTATTTTTCCAATGCAAGTAAACATTATTAAATAAAAAGCTTTTATGTGAATGTCAAAGTAAGCATTTTAATGCATTATTAAAATTGCAAAATTCTTAAAATTTAATCAAATTTTACATTCTATTGAAAGTGATAAAGTAATAATTTTTTAGGGATATGTTCGCTTTTCAAAATAAAAAAGAAATTTAATAATAAAACGCAAGTTTTATAGATCCTATATCGTAATTATAAAATATAATCCGCATATAAAATCTTATAAATCATTTTGTGAATATCGAAGAAGTATTATTAACCATTTAGTTTTATCTCCTGCAAAACAGCAATGACAAGAAAAAAAAAATATTTTCTGAATTATTTCTTTTAGAAATTTAAGACATTGCCTTCTAGAAACGTTACCGGATGGAGTTTTCGATCCATTAATACGATTGGAACGCTTGTAAGTCTTTTAAAATATATTTTATAAATGAAAAAAATGTATTATGTCACACTTACATAGAGACCTACTAAATACACAAAAATTCCGTAAAATATGTTATGTATACACATAAAACTATAAAAAGAGAAACGAGCCAATAAATTCCTNTTTAAAGAATTTATTAATATTTTATTTGTTTTCTATTCATTATTAAAACAGGTTAATTCAAATATTTAATATCATATTTAAATTATATTTTAAGCTTTAAAAACATTAATATATTTTAAAAAACTCACCTTTACTAATTGGTCTTGTAAAGATAGAAACAATTATTCATACTTAATCATTTATTATTAATTGTTTTGGTCCATCTATAAAATTCAAAAAATAAATTCTTAATAATAAATATGAAATAAATTATAATTTAAAAAAATTTAAATATGATTTTATTTAGAATTTATAACTAAATAAACATTTTACAGATCACTCTCTAAGAATAAATTATATAGTATAGAAAAGAAAATCTTTCAAAATAATGGACATTTGAAGCTTCTGTAAGTTTTATTTATGAATTTATATAATTAATTACGTCTAATTACTGAAAATCTTAAAATATTTCTTATCATAACAGATCATTAGATGGAAACAAATTGAAATATCTAAACGAAAACAGTTTTGGTACTATTCCATCACTTAAAAAACTGTAAGTAGCGTAAATTAATTTTAATTATTGAAAAAATGTTTTAATATTTATATTTTTATAAATTATTTTGATAATTATAATAATATAATTTTAAACATTTTTTTAGAGAACTGAGAAATAATCGCATTAAAACTATAGCATCATCTACATTCGATGGCTTATCATCATTAATATCTCTGTAAGTTGTTAACAGTTTTTCATTATTATAATTGAAATTTGTGTTATAATATTTTAAAAAAATATTATTCATTTTAGTGATTTAAGTGAAAATCCCTTTGAAGAATTATCACCGAGTAATTTTGAAAATTTAACTTGTTTAGAATACATGTAAGTTATATTTTCCTTAATATTCATACGAATAAAGATATCTGTTATGATTGAAAAATAATAATAAACAAACCGATTTTTCGAAGCTGTTTTTACTTGATTAGACGTTTAAAAATAATATTATGACTTATATGATAATTAAAATTGAGAAGGAAGTTTTTATTATATTTAAGTATAAGTTTCAAGGAATAAATTCCATCTTAATTGAATATCGATTTTCATAACGAATTTGAAAAATGTTTTATATAAAGAAGTTATGCAGAATATTTACTAAAAATATGAAGAAATATTTAAAAGCGAAATCATTTATAATTTTTTCACTTATTAAATAAAGATAATTATTATATGGTAAATTATTTTATATATTTATAATAATACAATTTTAATGATATTTTCTGTATGCCAGACTATTTTAATAATTAAAAGTCTGTAGAATATTGTTCTTTAGAGTTAAAATTTATTGTTAACTTTTAAATACTTAATCTTTGTTCACGTGTAGTATAAATAATCAATTATCACAGCGAATAAAATCCAGCTTAGTTTGTTTTCGTTTGTTATTTTTGAGCGAAAGCAATTTGTCAACATATTTTTTTCTTTTCTTAGAATAAAATCACGAGTGTTAAATTCTAAGGAGACGAAGAAAGATTGATAAGACTATTGATTAAATTTATATAACATTTACAGTTTGTTATCTTTATCTATTGTAAAATGAGAAGCAAAAACTTAAAACAGTTCGCCTTTTTTTGTTTTATGACAAAGAATATAATGAACTTCGTTACAGCAAGAAAAAATATCTTTAACAAAAGGTTGACTTGACGTAATCATTGTAAAGAAAATTAGCCATAGAATTCTGAATAAACGGAATTTAATTCAAAAGAATTCTATGGTTCATTTCTTAGCTGTATAAACTCTAATTCTAATTTAATTTTTCAAATTCGTCTTCTTTTCGAAGCTGTTAATGAATTTTAAACTAAAATATTATTTGTTTATATAGAAATAATTTATTATCTTTGATGAAAAACGAATAAAATATGTGAATTGTTAACTAAAATCCGTTAAGAAATACTTAAACGGATATGATCAATTCTTTTAAAATTCGTTTGTTTGTTTGTTTGTCCGTACATTTTTGTACATAATTTTTCGGTAATTGCAATAATTAGAATATTGAAATTTTCTGAAGTTATTATTTTATAATCTATTTGTAAAATGACATACTATCTAAGCAATTTACTTTCATACTAAAAATATTAATTTCGTAGAAAGTATGAGTTGAACCGATGAATCAGTTACCTTAAATGAAATTTTATTTATCTAAAATTCGTCATCAATTAATTGCAAAACATTCTAATTATTAAATGTTTAAAAAAACAATAAATTAGAATATTAAATTTAAAATAGATTAAATAAAACAATTTTTTCAGAATGTTAGCATCAAATTAAAATTAATTGAAACTACTAATTTATAATAATTATTGATTAAAATTTTTTAATTCCATGCAGGTAAATAATCACAATCATAAGGAGTAAGTCGAATTAAAAATTAATACAGTAGTTATAAATAAAATATACAGAAAATATTATAGGAGAGTTAAGTCTGGATTTCTTCTTTTACCGCATAACTTAAAAATTTTCCCAGAAATTTAATCGTTATAAAAATAAATTACAGAATCATTGCTGTTGATAGCACTGGTAACAGAAGGCCGTTATCAGAATTAACATTTTAGATAAAAATGCTAAGGAGAGATATATATTTATATCTTCCTGATTTTTAATTAGATTTTTATACTTTAAATATATAATTTTACTTATATTAAAGGATTTATTTTAGCATCTTTTGATAGCTTTTAAATGCCAACTACTGGTAATTTTTGTATTATAAAAAAAAAATTGATTTAATGCAAGCGTCGTCATTTGGCAGTGAGCAATGATTTATGTAACCAAATGTGATCGAAGAATTTAGGATGGGTGATTCTAATCGTATCGCATTACAATATACACTCATCTGGATGCAAATAAGAGTAACTATATAATATAAAAGTTTAAACTTTTCATATCTCAAATTAAAAATTTATTAAAATTTTGAAATTTTAAATTTTAAAATATTGCTGTTATAAATTCTACTAATAAACAAAAATTGAGATGCTTTCTTTCCGAATAATGTCACTGATTATATTTTAAAATATATTAAATTATTGATAGATTAATTGTTGACGTTTTGCAGATCGATAAAACTCTTATTATCTGTTAAATCCGGATTCAAGGATTTCGTATGATCAAGGTTATTAGTTAACGCAGCCATTTTTTATTTGTTCAAAATTTCATATAATTTTTTTAAAATAAATTCTTTAAAAATCATTAACTGTACTCCATTTTTTAGTTTTAATTATTGATTTAATGCTACGATATTTATAACAATTATGGATTCAGTAAAAATGATAAATATAAATTAAGTTATCAGAATTCAATACTTAACGTTTTTTACTTTAGATCCTATTTAATACACATAAATTATTGACTTATTGGTAGTTAATTTTATGTAATGTGTAAACTTCAAACGATTACGAGACATGAGATACTTGAACTAGATCCAGTCACAAATGTGTGGTTTCACCCCTCTCCTAAAGCCATAAAGTTATATAAAAAAAAATTAATAAAATAAATTTTAAAAGATTTTTAATCCCATGCCAAAATTTATGTTTTTCTTTTTGTTAAAACACTAAATTTGAGAATCTGTGTTTGGGGGTTAGGTCAAATGGCTTTGTTGGCAGCCCTATTTGAGTCTTATGTTTAGTGTCAAATATTAATTTCAGAAAGAAATTCAAAAAATAAAATATATTTCGACGAGAATTGTATCTCATTACAAGTAGTTAGACTGAGATATCCAGAAGTAAATCAATTTTAAAATATATATATGAAAAAATTTAATATCGCACAAGTGTAAATTTTACTTTATATTAGTTAAATGAATATTTTTACTAAGGAAATATAAAAAACTATTTCTTTCAGTTTAGTGGAAATTATTATTATTTAATACATAATGTTTCCAAATCATGCGTTTATACTAGGCATGACTAGGCCAAACTTATAAGAGTAATCTATAAACAAATAATTAAACATATTCAATTTCATCTAGACCTTTGTGATTTGTCTTGAGAAATTTAGGTCGAAATGTCGTTCCGCATCCCTTAACCATAATAGCCTCCCAACTGTGAACCAGGAATACTACTAATGAATAAATTAAGATTGAACATGTAGTTCGTGTACACCGATAGCATGCGGTATATAAACAACCATAACCAAAGATTTAAAAACATTCGTCGTTATATAATTACATAGTTACTAAATTTTAAATGTAAATAAAAATTAACTGTATAAGTACTGTTTTACTATAGCTATATATCGAACTTTAGAATTTATATTAATATACTAAGGTTGAGATAATATGATAAAAAAAAGGTCGTTAATTAATCTCTGTTGGGAACCTGCTCAAGAGTTCATAACTAAATTTCTAATTACTATTTCAAACTGACAAACGAAAACATTGAAAGTCGAATAATGCAATCAACGATGCATTATTCGACTTTCAATGTCATCATCTGATGATCCATTCAAACATAGAAACGAGTAAAACATAAGGAAATGGAATTATGTTAGCTTATTATATTTTGAATGTTTTTTTAAATATCTTGGATGCTAAATAATAATTTTAAAAATGCTTAATTTACATCCTTAATATTTAAAAAAAAATATATTGTCTCGCTAATATGCTTGCTTACTTGAGTTCAAATTATAATCGTAAGCAACCACAAAATTGCTGTATATTTTATGCACTATTTGGCATTATTTAAAATATATTCCTTCTTCAAATCTTAAGATTTCGATTCTTTTTAATCTGTAAAAAATCCTTTCCCCAAAAAATGTAACTAAAAATGATGCGAAATCTAGTTTTTTACATCTTACAGAAGATATAATTTAAAAATTATAATTACATATACCTTGTATTTTAAATTTTCGGTTTTTTCTCTAAATTTTAGTTGCTCATTTTCAAATTTATACTTGAATTTCAACTTAATTTTATCCAAGAGTAAAATGTCTACTAGCTCTAAATGTAAATGATTCAATTGTTTTGAATGATAAGTTTGACACGTGAAGTTTATAAAAACGTATTTATTCAGAAAGACTGATTTTCTGGAATAGTCTAGTACAAAACAGAATTACCCGATGTAAATTCCTAAAATTTGTCATAAGTAATAGGCGTATGGGTTGGACGTTATTCATCAACTCCCCTCCATGCTGATAGACCCCGTTGCTTGTTAGATCCGCTCGTAATTATAGTAAATGGCATAAACGTACTGATTGCTTCAAGTTCACTAATTAATATCAATCAGTTTTTTATTTTTTCTGCTTCAAATTTTAATTTTTACTCACCCTGAAACTAAATATAGCCTATACATTACATTTTTGCTATAGTTATTTATTTACATTTATTAATATTTCATATGATATAAAAAGTTTGATATAATGAGATTTTATAATATTATGCATTAGTTCGATGTGACCTTACACGCACTCATCAGAAGTCAGTAAGAGTGATTACTCTCAAATTAAAAATTTATTAAAATTTTGAAATTTTAAATTTTAAAATATTGCTGTTATAAATTCTACTAATAAACAAAAATTGAGATGCTTTCTTTCCGAATAATGTCACTGATTATATTTTAAAATATATTAAATTATTGATAGATTAATTGTTGACGTTTTGCAGATCGATAAAACTCTTATTATCTGTTAAATCCGGATTCAAGGATTTCGTATGATCAAGGTTATTAGTTAACGCAGCCATTTTTTATTTGTTCAAAATTTCATATAATTTTTTTAAAATAAATTCTTTAAAAATCATTAACTGTACTCCATTTTTTAGTTTTAATTATTGATTTAATGCTACGATATTTATAACAATTATGGATTCAGTAAAAATGATAAATATAAATTAAGTTATC